GGGTGGCTGTTCCAGTCCCTGCTCAGGAAAATGGAGGCAAAGAAATCATTGAATGTTAGCTTTGTCGTTTGGTGTGATGACCAAATTCCCTAGCGAGTCCTGCGGGGGCCCCACATTACCCGGAACCTTCTTTTTGCCCCCTATGTATTTAAAAAAGGACTTCTTGTTGTCCTTGATCTGGGAAGCTAGTCCCAGTTCCATCTCCGCCTTGGCCTTCCTGACTGCTCCCCTGCATCCCTGAGCAACCACAGTATAATCCTCCCTGGTGATGGCTCCTCCTTTCCATTGGGCGTACGACTCCCTTTTAGCTAGGAGACACTCCTGGATGCTTTCCGTGAGCCATGGGGGCTTTTGCGCCTTCCTGCCCCTTTTGATCCGTGTTGGGATTACCTCCCTTTGGGCTTGGAGGATCATCTCCTTAAGGAGCGACCACTCTTCTTGGACACCTGGCTCCCCACCTCAGTGCTTCCCCGACTCTTCTCCTTAGCTCATTGAAGTCCAGCCTTCTGAAATCTAGGGCTGCTGCCTTGCTGTAGGCCTTTGCCACCTTGTGCTGGATGGTGAATTCCAGCAAGCGATGATTGCTGTCGCCCAGGTGGTCGAGAACTTGCAGGCCCCTCACCAGGTCGTCGCTGGTGGCCAGCACCAGGTCCAACAAGGCATCTCCCCTGGTGGAGCTGTTCACCTCCTGGGTTAGATGGAGGTCCTGCATTCTAGCTAGGAACCTATGTGAGTGGTCAGACTTGGCTGACTGCTTTTCCCAGCAGATGTCTGGAAAGTTCAGGTCACCCATGATGACGACATCCTTTTGACCTAACTACCTCCGTGAGCTGACATAAGAATTCCTGGTCTAGCTCTTCCCCTTGGTTGGGTGGTCTGTAGTAGACCCCCACCGTTAAGTCCCTTTCCCTTCGACTGCCTTGTATTCTAACCCAGAGCACTTCAGAGTGCCCCTCCTCTGATTCTTTGCTAATTGACGAGGATGTGTATTCCTCCTTAATGTAGAGCGCCATGCCCTCACCTTTCCTTCCTGTCCTATCCCTCCTTTACAGCCTATAGCCCTTGATATTTACCGCCCAGTCATGTGTTGGGTCCCACCATGTTTCAGTGAGCCCCACTGTGTCTGGGTTGGTGTCAGTTAGCAGGAGGGTAAGTTCCTCTTGCTTGTTTCCCATATTATGAGCCTTTGTGTAGAGGCATTTGAGGCCTCCTGAGGATGTGTGCACTGGCCCCCTACTTTCAGCATTACCCTGGCCCCTGTTGCTTATCTGCGTATATGTTCTGCTTGTCAGTCTAGGCTGGGCTGTACTTGTGGGTGTTGCTTGGTTTGGTTTAACACAGGTTAATTGGTTTAATTTGTTCCCCCCACCCCAAGACCAAAGCTTTGGGACTTCTCATCCATTTTGCACAAGTTTAAGTAATCCTGTTTTTTCCAGGGGAACTTGATGGAGGGTTATCTAAAATGAATTTTGACAGGGAAACTGAGGCCTTGATAGTGCATTATGTAAAAAAAGAGTTAGCAACTTATTCAGAGTTAATAATTATTCAGTGGTCACAGAATTAAATCACAAATTTATTGAAAGCTATGAAGAGGAAGAGCAGACATCTTTTCCAGAAATTAATAAAAGCATGAGTTATGGTCAGAGAATGAAGAAAATTCAAAGAACAACTCT